AAATAAAATTCTTTCAGCAATGTAAGCTGCCTTAAAAAAAAAAAAAAAAAAAAAAAAAACTTATTAAAATTATTATTATATGATAGAATTAATTATTTTTAACAACTTACTCAAAAGTATTATTATTTAAATTATTCGAAGAAATTTCTTGTATAATTTGAGTCATAAAATCTGAATCAATATTTACACCTTGATATATTTTATTTTGAATTTCATCAGCAAAAATTCACATAATTTTGAGCCTTGACAGGTACACATTTCTCATTTTACTTCAACAATTAGATAAGAGCATATAACTTTGTATTCACCACCAGGTTTACTAATTGAATACTGAATCTACAAATATATTAAAATAAATTATATACTATATATATAATTAAAAAATTATTAAATTATATTACTTACATCTTTAAATGCAGCTAACGGCTTCTCCCAATTTTCAATATTAAATATATAAGCAACACCTTCTGGACTTGTTGCAGGATATTCAATAGGCGTTAATATATGATTAACAATTTTAGCTATTAATTCCTTTGTAAAGTAAGTTACTGTATTTTCATTATTATTAATTTTATATATAGTAGTCGAATTATATTCAACATTATCAGAATCTTCATCCAAAGTTAAGTACTACAATATAAATAATTAGTTATTTTAATTAATGATTTAAATATTTACTTTTTAAAATATAATAACTTATTAGTTACTTCAATAGTTTCATAGCTTTTATAGCTTTCAAGACGTTCAAGACATTCAAGATCTTCCTCATAAATCGTTTCAATCCTATCAATAATTTGAATATTAAAATTTTCCATTTTAAAAAAATTTTAAAAATTTTATTATTTTTATTTAATAAAAATTGAAATTTCCAAAATATACATTTAACAATATATTTTACTTGTTTAAAGATTGTAAACGAAAAAAAAACTACTAAACTATCATTACAAATATTTCATTTAATATCAATTGACTAATCAATCTTTTATCATCATATATATGTAATTTAATTTATATCATTTAAATAATTAATGTTTTATTATCGTTATCGATATATTATTATATACACATAAGTATGATCAATATAATTGTTTTGCTACACCTAAGTATGATCACTATAATTTTTTACTACATATAAGTATGATCAGTATAATAGTTTATCATACACATGAGTATGATAATAAATTATAGTCCTACTCAACTACATTTGTATCTCATACTATACTACTTTACATAGGACTCTAAGAGAAAAAATTAGATTATTTGATTTTGGGTTAGAGAAGAAAAATTATAATATAAAAGAAAATTGTTATAGCATAGTAGTAATCTTTGTAGTTTTGAGTAGTATTTAAAATTCTGCACAAATATGCAGTGCAAAAAAAATTTTTTTAAACAAAAATATAATATGCACAGAATACCAGTAGATTATAAAATCTAAATTATTTATTTAATACAGTCAACTCTATATATAACGAACTGACGAGTCTTATAGTAAAAAATTTTCA